ATGTCAGCTTGGACTTACATTTCAGCTTACATAATCACGAATGATTTATATGTTTTCCTAATTGTCGCACAACATGCTACTACCGGTAATGAATCTCTGAGCAAAGAATGACTAGAAACATTGGCAACAGTCCGCAAACAGTTCGGTGATCTCCACTTCTGTTTCGCCGTTTTGTACCCGTTCAGTGGCTTTCCTAAATTTTTTTCGTTTCCTGTCCGAGAAGAACTTGCCAAGGCCCTAAAAAAGAGTTGTTCTAGCATGTGATTGAGCAGCGGTTTGAGGTCATAATGACCATGCAATGACAACAACATTTGCGCGGGAACAATGTCGTGCATATAAGTGCCAGTAGTTTGCTTGCGACTTGCTGTAGAAAGCGCAGGTATAGCGTACATGTGACGCGTAAATGTTGTCGGCAGCGCATGAACACTATTCAGACTACGGATTTTCCAGATTATAGTGGTACCTTGTACAATTTCATTGTGCCGACCACATTAGCCATCCTTCCCGTCATTGTTACGATTACAACCAGCACAGAGCTAATTTCAACATGAGGTCCTTTCTGCTTTTCCTCTTCAGTTGGCTTGATGCCTAAATGGAAAAACCATACATGCATGTCGAATTAATGTTTGTTTTGAGTCGTCTCGAATTTTTATGAGCCAATCTTACAACATTCGAAAAATCAGCCGCATCAAACACTCTTTACATACTACAATCCTCAATCGTTCTATTCAGTCACATAATGCCAATGTTGACTCAAAGAAGTCAATAGGGGCGTTATCTGAAAGAACAAAAACAAAGTCCCCAATGATGAGCATACCAGTACCGTGTGCTTCTAGTTTCTGATGGATCAGGGCCTCAGTATTTCCTTTATCGATAATGGCTTTCAACAGAAGACAGCCAGCTCCTATGATGTTCAGCAAGATTCCATAAGCGATTAGCTCCCAGCAGCCTGAAAATACAGCTGGCATTATGTCTTCTAGGTTGATGATGACTATCGCAATTTTCCCACAAATATTGGAAAACTTCGTGATTCCCTTCAGCTTCAACGAAATTGTTTGATTTAATATTTTGTGCTTTTTGGGAACAATTGAATCGGAGTTCTTATTGGCATAACATAAAGATACAGGATTCAAAGGAATGCGGGAGCTTTCTGAAATTCAATGGCTAAAATCTCTATCGAGCAGAATGCTTATTGGTCCGCTAAAAAGTACGTCATAGGGCAAAAGTTCAAAGGTGAAATTTTTGGCAAG